GTGATGGCGACCTCCACGGGGAGGGTAGGCGCCCGCGGAATGCTGGGACTGGAAGGCGCCGGCCCCTCCCCCTCCTCCCCCAGGCGTCACCCCCGGCTCCACTCCCCCGGCTCCACTCCCCCCGCCAGCCGGCGGCCGGGCGGGAGGCTGGAGGCGTGGGCAGTGCAGGGACAGGACCGCAAAGCCTCCCAGCGTTCTCGCTGTCGCGCTGCTCTCTTGACCAGAAGGCAGACATCTCTGCAACACATTGGAGGGCCCTGGAGTTGGTGAACAGCCAGGGAAGCCTGGCGCAGCCCTTGGGGTCGCAAGGAGTCGGACACGTCTGAGCGACGGAACTGAACTGAACTGAGCCCTTAAAAAGACCTAAAAGCTCATAGGCTTGAGGAACCAACGGAACCAACGCAGTGAGCGGCACTAGCCAATGATAATGGCAAGCACCAGTCAGGCTTGATTTGGAAACCGACTGCCAGCCACCTTTATGAGGTGCGTGCCCCCATGTTAAATGCGGACAACGCTACATACATACCTCTTAAGGTGGTTGTGAGTAAATGAGGTAATGAACAGAAGTGTCGGTTAAACGGATAAAAGATGTTTTCTTGATCTATTAATTTTATAAACATGAAAAGTGACAGATGGAAAGCAGTTTACCCAAAAACACATTATTGGTTAAGGGCAACTGTCAAGTCAATCTAAAAGTCCTGTTCCTGAACTGGGCCAATTCAAAACAACAGAGAAGAAACCTGCTCACATAAATCTCACTTCCCCTTTCCTAATTTTTTCCTATAAAACTCCTGACCAACATACTGTTTTACTTACACTGATTTTTATCTGACTCCCATAGAATATAAAATCCTAGAAGGAAGAGAGCGTTGTCTTTAGTCTATTCTTTCCTGCTGTATCCCCAGCACCTAGAATAGGGTTTACCTAGTACATAGCACAAGCTCAAAATTTTATTGGGTTAATGATTCTTCATGTAAATAACTTATTTTTTTGGTGTCTTCAACCATCCTTTTTTGGCAGAAGTTGCAGGATTGGGGAACATTTTTAGATGCTTAATTGCAATTTCGAATTCAACAAAGAATAAGTGGAAGGCTATTTATTGTAGTCACTTCATTTCCAGCAAGACATGTTCATTTATATTAATAGTCTTCAAAATATTTTTTCTATCACTTGTGAGAATGGGGAATAAATGCAGCTGGCTACTATGTCTTTACTTCCTCTTATTTAATATTTTAATCTTTTTATTAAAAATAACAGTTACCTTTTTCTACTAAGATATAACCCCAAAGTTATTTTTCTGACCAAAATTGTGAACACTATGTACAATGAATTGATAAATGCTTTCTCACTACATAACAGGATTTCTGCTTACCCTGAACAAAAAACTCCGGGAGATAGTGGAGGACAGAGGAGCCTGGCTGCTGGAGTTCATGGGGTTGCAAAGAGTCAGACATGACTTAGCAACAGAACAGCAAACAAAAAACTCATGTACAAAAATTATCTTATTAAAATAGCTGCTTTACTTAGAATCCAGTGTCAAGAACATTAGATTTCTAGACTGAGGCCTAATAGTTAGGCGTTTAAATTAATGCCAATTATAATTTTGTATATATCTGTCTTCCCTCAGTTCAGTTCAGTCACTCAGTCATGTCTGACTCTTTGCGATCCCATGAATCACAGCAGGCCAGGCCTCCTTGTTAATCACCAACTCCTGGAGTTTACTCAAACTCATTCCATCAAGTCAGTGATGCCATCCAGCCATCTCACCCTCTGTCATCCCCTTCTCCTCCTGCCCCCAATCCCTCCCAGCATCAGAGTCTTTTCCAATGAGTCAACTCTGCGCATGAAGTGGCCAAAGTATTGGAGTTTCAGCTTTAGCATCAGTCCTACCAATGAACACCCAGGACTGATCTCCTTTAGGATGGACTGGTTGGATCTCCTTGCAGTCCAAGGGACTCTCAAGAGTCTTCTCCAACACCACAGTTCAAAAGCATCAATTNTCAAGAGGCAGGTCAGGTGGTCTGGTATTCCCATCTCTTTCAGAATTTTCCACAGTTTATTGTGATCCACACAGTCAAAGGCTTTGGCATAGTCAATAAAGCAGAAATAGATGTTTTTCTGAAACTCTGTCTTCCCTAATATATGGCAGATTCCCTCAGGGTAAAGAATACTCTTAATTGAATTCATATATTTATTAAGCATCTATTCTGTTTCAACACAGATGTTTAATAAATACATGAATTAATGAGTCTATTCTTTGTTCTAATCATTTTTTCTCTTGTTTTCTTTCGATTCACTGAATTCCTCCACAGATTTCAAAGTCCCACAATAACTGTTTAACATTCAGAGCTCATGCTTCCTCCTGGATTAGCAGTCCAGCAGTTCCCTTATGGTATTAGCTGAGTCTACCGTCTCTATAATGTCACCTCTTTTGTGCCACCCTTGGGTTTGGAAAACATCTACAGAAGAGTATCTGGTTCGACAAGGGTTTAGCATTACCTCAGAGTTGGTAATGAAGGTTGGTATTTATAAGGTTGCTAAGTGTGGGAGGCACTTATGGCAGAGCTAGGATTATGTACCCTTATTACCTAGACAAAAGAGGGAAAACCCTAAAAACCTGTATGTTTTAATGCTAAAGTTACCATTCCTCTGATTCTGCGTCAAGCTTCTCATGATTTTGAAAACCATTCCTAAAGTTCTTCAAGCATTTTTAATTACAAGATGACACAGGTGGCGCTAGTGGTAAAGAACCTGCCAGCCAATGCAGGAGACATAGATAAGCAGCTTCATTGCCTGGGTTGAGAAAATCCCCTGGAGGAGGGCCTGGCAACCCACTCCAATATTCTTACCTGGAGAATCACATGGACAGAGAAGCTGGTGGGCTACAGTCCTGGGGCCCGCAGAGTCTCGGACAGGACTGAAGCAAATTAGCAGCAGCAATACATGTATTAATGTATTGAATCTCCTGTCTTCTTTTTTAATACATCCCCCCAAATCTGTTTTAAAATCTGTATCCGTTTCTATATAGTTAACTGTCCTCGTAACTGTTTTAAAGAGCTTAATATATGTATTAATATTACCACTATATGAACTTATTAATACTACTTGTATAAAGTTTTATATCCTTTAATCTATTATATCCTTTATTATATCCTTGAATCTATTATATCTTTTCATCTATTACAGTACTTTTACTGTTACATATTAACAGAGTAATATAATAGGTACCTTATAAAGCACTAGTTAAAACAAGTAAAAGCCAGATATTAACCACGTATCAATACTACTCAGCATTTTGTCAGAAAAGAGTCCCACAAATTTTCCAAATATACTATCTAACTCAGGCTGACAAGGGAGAACATGCTTTTCATTTTCCCTAAGATAAAAAGATTCTTTAAAAAGTAGCATCTCTTGCATGAAACAAATGCTCGGGCCTGGTGCACTGGGAAGACCCAGAGGGATCGGGTAGAGAGGGAGGTGGGAGCGGGGATCGGGATGGGGAATACATGTAAATCCATGGCTGATTCATGTCAATGTATGACAAAAACCACTACAATACTGTAATTAGCCTCCAACTAATAAAAATAAATTTTAAAAAAGCAGCATCTCTCATGTTACTATTCCTTCAGTTTCTTTAGCTATATTGTATATAATTTAAAAAAATACAGAACAGAAAACTAAACAAGAGCTTTTATCAAGCAAAAACCTAGGTGATTCTAAAGCATGTAATTACTCGTGTCTGTGGCCAAATTTATGGACTATTAGTGAAAACATAGGACATCGTTAAGATTTCATTTAAATGAAATATGTGCCCAGTTTGGACAATGAGTTGCTGAAAAACATTCTAAAGTGATTTTAAATACTTGAAAGAGTGGCTCAGCTGGTAAAGAATCTGCCCGCAATGCAGGAAACCTGGGTTCGATCCCTGGGTTGGTAATATTCCCCTGGAGAAGGGAAGGCTAACTATAGTATTTTGGCCGAGAGAATTCCACGGACTGTACACCATGGGGTCCCAAAGAGTCGGACATGACTGACTGAGTGACTTACTTTCACTTCACTTCAAAATTTTCAGGGCCATTCACTGTAACTGCTATCCAAATTGCAATTTTTAAAATCTATTCACTAAAATCAATTATAGAAAATCGTCCGAGGAGGGTGCGTGTATGTGGAGGCAAGATTAACCGTTTTTTTCAATAATATTCCCTCAGTGTGTCTAAGTTTAGTTATTTGCAGATTTTCGACATCTGCATATACGGTACACAGAAGTGAAACAAATGGCTGTGCCATGCTTTCTTATTCAGTAAACTAAGCGCAGAAAAACCCTGTATCAAATGCAGTATATAAAGTCATGCTCAGAATCAAAGTGAAAATAATGGATCACAACTTTACAGTGCTGTCTTTAATCAAAGTATTTGTTCATTTCTTACTGTCCATAACACAGCACTAACAATGTCTCTGAACAGCTGGAGTAGAGCCTTTATAGGAAATCAGGAGTAATACTGTTTGCTGCGTACGTTTTGTAAATGGAAATCTACCCAAGTAAGCCTGTAGATCCGATTTCGTACACTCAACCTAAAACTGGTAAACTGCCTTCCCAAAGAACTCGAAACTAAAATTTTCTCCAGGGAAAGATGACACCTGCGAATATGTCTTTCTTATCAGCCCTGCAAAGGGACACTGGAAAGGTACGGCGAAAGCAGGAGTCGATCAAAAACGCTGCGGGGAAACTGCGCAACAGCCTAGGGCTGAGGACCGAAACTTCTCCTCCACCCGCGTTTCACTCCGCCTCTCCCACCGACTCTGTGCTGGGGGCCCTGCCGGGCGCCTCTTGCGAGCAGGCAACAGTTGCCAGGAGCAGCTGGACTGAGGACCGGCAATTTGCCCAGCCACTTGTCCCTTCTCCGTCTTCCCTCCCTCCCTCCCCGAAGGCCGAGGACAGCGACGCCTCCTTGCTCTTCTCCTCCTCTTTGGTGCCTTCAGCCAGGAGGCGGGAGTGACCCGCGGCAGCTGACCCAGCACAGGCACTGCCTCTCCCACAGCCCTCGGAACACACCATGGGCCCAGAGGCGGGTTTGCAGCACAGCAGCGACGACGCAGGCGGCAGCCCCGACGACGCTCAACTGCCTTCCTGACCGCCGACACCACAGCCCTACACCCCGAAAAACGATCGCCATCAACGGCAGGAGACTTTTAAGGGCACCGCAAAACACCTTCGCGATCGACTCAAGCTACGTCAACAACTATGGCAGGCGAGGAGCGGCGGGCGGAGCCGGAAAGGGAAGGGTGGGCGCTGTACGTCACGCCCAGGGCTCCGCTACGGGAGGGAAGGCCCCGGCTCGCCCCTCAAAATGGCGGCAGCAGTGACGTACGTGCGTACGGAACTCCTACACCGTCGCGCCACGGCCGGCGGGAAGTGAGGTTCTCAGAAGAGCCGCCCGAAGTGTACGGCGACTTCGAGCCCCGGGCGGCCAAAGAAAAGGCCCGGGTAGGAAGACAGATTCCGCTAGAAGGGTTCCGGCCCGATTCAGCGAAAGAGGAAGTGAGAGAAAGCGCCTATTACCTTCGGTCTCGGCAGCGAAGGCAGCCCCGACTCCACGAAGCCGAGGAGATGCAGACGCGGAGAGCTACTCGCCTCCAGCAGCAGCCGCACTCGCCGCCGCCTCCGATACGACCGTCTCCGGTTACCACCAGAAGAGGATTACGGGACTCCCATTCATCCGAAGGTGAGGCAGTCGGAAGTAACAGTGTCTACCGCGAGTCAGGGAGGGAGTGCCGTGGGCGGGCACGCGCGAAGGGTGTGCACGCCCTGGGCGGGCGTGTGCCTACCTTGAGCTCATCACCTCTGAGCTTTTCCAGGATGGACGTGAGCCCCCACCCCCGGGCCGCCCCGTCGGCTGGCGGGAAAGTGGCAGGGCGGGGGCGCTGGAAGGTAAGGCGGTCTTGCCTAGTGACCTGAGCAGAGCCGAGGAGCCGCGTGCTTCCCTGGGCATCAATTTAGAGGTGTCAGGATTGCCCATTTTCTGCAGGCCTGCACTTCGGGGCGGCCAGTTAGGCAGCAGGCAGGACACTGAATCACTCCGAGTTCAGTTTCACATCGGTTCTCTCTACCCTGCGGATGTTTCTGCCAAAGCCACTTCCATTTCCTCCTTTTAACTCCCAGACCAGAAGTCCCTCAATGAGAATTTTGGTCCTCTAACCTTCCAGTCTTTCCCCGTCACTATCCAGGAGGGGAGAGAGGAAGGGGAATTTCGTGAGTGGCTGTTTTGAGGACTAGCGTAGTTGATAAATTGTTTTGAGATCCCACCCACATGTTTACACTGAAATGGGGTCAAGGCAGTCATCCTGAACCTGAAGCTTCCCAGTGTGTGATAAACTTGAACTAATCGCTCTTTCTCTAGTGTGGTCTCTGCCAGAAATTCGCATGTTGGTGACCTTAAGTGTAACCTCAGTAGTTAAGTAGTAGCGTGACAAAACAAGACTTTCATTAGTTTTCATCTAAATGGGCCAGAGGGTTACTGACAAAGTGATTGTGTAGTTTTAGGAAAGTCACAGACGAATCAACTCCGGTAATGCGTCCTCTCCTATACTGCCCCTTCTCCCCCATCTAACACTGAGTCACAGATGGAGTTTCATGTTGACTCCAGATAGGGCACCTATGAGGTAAAACCAAGGGGTTTGAATCCTAATGGGATTACATAGTTGGTGATACACCATTGGTGGATACGATGAAGAGGAGGTGGATTTTCAGTTTAGAGCTGAGTAATACACTACACATTACCTGCTGATGCCAGAAGTGCTGACACAGTAGAAGTGTTGATGATTTTGGAAATTATGTTAAAGATATGTGAGTTACTATTGGGAGTAGCAATTCAAGACTGTTTAACCCTATACATGTTTTATCTCTCTTTTAAGATTATAAGCTTCTGAAGACAAAGATACTACATATATATTTGAGGGACCATGTTATACTTCAATGTTTATGTTCTTTCTGTATGTCCAGTAGCTAGAAGAATGCTTTGGAAGGCAAAGGAAACATGCTAAGTTGTATTGACTCTCCCACACAGGCCGATGCAGTTGTATAAGCTGGTTTTTGTTTTTTTTATTTTAAACACACAAAGGATTTACTTCTATTTTTAGTGAATCTATGAGAATCTACACATTTTTCATTCTTCCTCTTTAGCCCATCTTTCAAATTTTCTAGAGTAATATTTCTGTTTTTGTTGTAAAGCATCATTGGTGAGTAGTTTATTTTTATGTTGTCCTAAAGAGTAGTTCTCACTAGTTCAATTCCCACGTTTTGGTAAACCTAATTTTTGTGTTGTTTAGTGTCTCCTAAGTAGTGTCTGACTGTTTTTGCCACCCTATGGACTGTAACCCACTAGGCTCTTGTGTCCATGGAATTTCCCAGGCAAGAATACTGGAATGGGTTGCTATTTTCTTCTCTAGGGGATCCTCCCTACCCAGGGGTCAAACCCGAGTCTCCTACATTGGCAGGCAGATTCTTTACCACTGAGCCACCAGGGAACCCCTTAATTACACATTTCTGAAGGGATTGAAACTGAATGGGCCCCTGTGAGCCTCCCAGGCCTTTCTGTCCCCCATTGTTTGGAGGCAGTACACCAGCCATTATGACCTTCTCTGAGTTCCAAAGGGCAGGTTCCAAATGTTGCTAATCAAGGGAAGAACAACTAAGAAGTCACCTGATGCAAGATTAAAAGGCCCAGATTAATCATCAGGATTAGGAGACTGACCACCTGAGACGAGAGTAAGGGAGTACAAGTGCAAACCCTTATCTTGTCAGACACCCTACCTTTGACCCACTTTTAAAACACTCATCAAGTCCTCTGGGGATGGGATACATAGTTTTTCAAGGCAGAAGCCTGATGTGTCTCCCTTTGCCTGGCAAAGCAGTAAAGCTATCCTCTGCTTCGCTCACAACTCTGTCTCTGGGATTTGATTTGGCACCCATGCACGGAGAGACCCGAGTTTTCATAACAATGAATTACTTGCATTTCTGTTTATGTATTGCTGTTAATATACAGAATCCCTACTCACTTTGCATATTCTGAATTTTACAATTGTTATGTCTGTTCTTTAGAGGATGAACCACCTTCACAAACTGTTTTAAGCCAAACGGTCACAAAGAAAGCTATCAGGAGAACACAAGAGACTCCAGGTAAGAAGTTGAGGTTCTCAACTCCAGGTTGAGGAACTCAACTCCAGATTGAGTTTGTTTTATTCCTAACCTGTCAGCTTTTTTTTATGTATAGATTATAGCCTATAATTATTGGGTTATTGAATTATTGGGTGGATCAGGGGTCCCAAATCATACCTCATTCAAAGTTTCAGTGAATCTTATTTTTAGGTTGTTAAGTTGAATTAAACAATAGTAGCATGTGTCAAGAAAAGACAGGGCGCATACTTGAATATCTTCTAAGTATCATATGCTTGGTATATGTTAATTCATTCACATAACTATGAAGGATCGATGTACTGATTTTTTTGGTGAGGAAACAAGCTCAGAGTAGCTGGCTTTTCTCTTAAGATTACTTGCTATGTAACTGAGCCAAATTCAGGCCTAGGCTTGTCTTCTCCAAAGCCCCTTCACTTGCCCCAAGTACCTCACTGTCACTCTCCCATGGAATAATTAGCTGCTCAGTAAAGCTTGTTAAGTGTTGAATGAATAAATGTGTCATGTAAAATGGATTAAATGGTCTGCATAGTAAAATCATGACACAATATAATCAATCTCAATTTGATACCATATTTTATTAAATCTAAGATCTCATCAGTTATAAGATACATCCTCTTGGGCTTCCCTGATAGCTCAGTTGGTAGAGAATCTGCCTGCAATGCAGGAGACCCCGGTTTGATTCCTGGGTTGGGAAGATCTGCTGGAGAAGGGATAGGCTACCCACTCTAGTATTCTTGGGCTTCCCTGTGGCTCAGCCGGTAAAGAATCTGCCTATAATGCAGGAGACCTGGGTTCTAACCCTGGTTTGGGTAGATCCCCTGGAGAAGGGAAAGGCTATCCATTCCAGTATTCTGGCCTAGAGAATTCCATGGATTGTATAGTCCATTGGGTCCCAAAGAGTCGAACACAACTGAGCGACTTTCAGTTTCACTTAGGAGGAAGAAATGCTGCAAGTTAATGGTAATGTACCTTAGATTGTATAATACATCCCAGTTTTAGAGATGTTAAAGTGTAGAAGTATTTCCATCTTAGTATCAAGTGGCATTAGGCTACATTTGGTAGTGGCCATTTTAAAACCTATACTGAAAAGCAAGGAAAAGAATTAAGTTCAGTTATTAATGCATGGTATCCTTTGATTTTTAGTTCTGTTTATTTTCAGTTTGTTTTTCTTGATATTAGGGAAATCCACAGTAATAATGACTGTAGCTATTGAAACTGATCATCTGTGGCTTTTGTTTTAACCCAGATCCTGACTGACTTCCATACCCATTGCTTCTAATAAGATTATGCTTTGTAGTTTAAACTATTCTGTTTAGAATAAATAAATACCTGGTTGAGGATAAATTCCAAATAACACACCCTTTATGCTTAATTCCTTGAACAGCCTATGTTCCTGGAGTCTTAAGATTAGAAACTGTTTTAGAAAAATGCTTCGTGGTAGGCTCTATAATCACATTTTTCAGGCCATTTGGGAAAACTGTGTTCTTGAAATTTTATTTATAATAGATTCAATTACATGACGCTTATGCCTGGAAAAACAAAAGTTTCTCATTTTTAGAATCTACAGCAAAAATAAATAAAATCTACAATAAATTTATGAAACTTCTGGAGTTAAGTAAATTGATTTAATGAAGACTGTTGAGCACCAGCCTATAGACCATACAGACCACTATAAAACTATTACACAATAGAATGTCTCGTACAGTCTTTTGGAGTTCACATTAAGCTTGTATTTTAGGACTGCTATTGAGGTACATGGCTGCATAATGTTGTGCAAAGAGCACTGGACCTTGGTCATATTTACTGCTGCTGCTACTGCTAAGTCACTTCAGTCGTGTCCAACTCTGTGCGACCCCATAGACGGCAGCCCACCAGGCTCCCCCGTCCTTGGGATTCTCCAGGCAAGAACACTGAGCCATGTTAAACCTCAGGCCTTTATCTGTATGACTTAATGAATGAAATACTGCCATTTGCAGCAACATAGAAGGACCTAGAGGTTATCATATTAAAGTGAAGTAAGTCAGAAAGAGAAAGACAGATGTATAGTATCACTTGTATGTAGAATCTAAAACATGATACAAACAAACTTATTTACAAAATGGAAACAGATTCACAGATTTATAGTTACCACAGGGGCAAGAGGGTAGAGGAGGAATAAGTTAGGAGTTTGGAATTAGCAGATATAAACTACTATATATAAAATAGATAAACAACAAAATCCTACAATATAACGCAGGAAACTATATTCAGTATCCTATAATAAACCATTATGAAAAAGAATGTATGTATATGTGTGTGTGTGTATATAGATATATAGAACTGAACCACTTTGCTATACACCAGAAACTATTAATAATACAACATTGTAAATCATCAGTACTTCAATTAAAACAAATATATAGGCTCTTCCTCCTTCTTGGAGAATCACAGACTTTCAGTTCAACTTTGGTGTTCAAAATTGTGCTATAATTGTATATAGGACCACTAGTGTGGTCTGACAAAACTTTATCCAAAAATGTCCTTGAAAATGATGGCCTATACCAAGGGACTTCCCTGGTGGCTCAGCTGGTTAAGAATCCACCTGCACTGTGGGAGACCTGGGTTGGGAAGAACCCCTGGAGAAGGGAACAGCTACCCACTCCAGTATTCTGGCCTGGAGAATTCCATGGACTACAGTCCATGGGGTAACAAAGACACAACTGATCAACTGTCACTCACACACACACACCCCCACCCCCACCCACCAAGGGACCACTTTCTAAAACATCCTAGTAAAGACAACCACATCATGGACTACAGTCCATGGGGTAACAAAGACACAACTGATTGACTTTCTCACTCACACACACACACACACACACACACACACACACACACCAAGGGACCACTTTCTAAAACATCCTAGTAAAGACAACCACATCATGGACTACAGTCCATGGGGTAACAAAGACACAACTGATTGACTTTCTCACACACACACACACACACACACACACCGAGGGACCACTTTCTAAAACATCCTAGTAAAGACAACCACATCATTTGTCGTCCTGTTTTGGAAGCCATGAAAATGTTGATTGTATTAGTCTAGAGTAGCTTATTGTTTGAAGTTTCAGAATTGCATTATTTTCAAAGTAAAATAGCAATTAGGTTGTTCCGTCAATTCCGTTCATATATACCTATGTAACTTCTTCTATGGCCAGATTCCTTCCATTCATGAAACTAATTTCATAACCTAAAAATATAGTAGGAAGATTTTAGTAACTTTTCCTAATGTTAAATATTTTTAGTAGTTATGGTTTCTAGTTAAATAATTATTGTTAAATATTTTTAATGCCTTCTGTTTTAACATGAGGGCTTCCCTGGTGGCTCAGGAGTTAAGAATCTGCCTGCCAATGCAGGAGACACAGGTTCGATCCCTGGATCAGGAATATCCCTTGGAGAAGGAAATGGCTACCCACTCCAGTATTCCTGCCTGGGAAATCCCATGAACACAGGAGCCTGGTGCACTCCAGTCCCAGGGTTGCAGAAGAGTCAGACATGGCCGAGTGACTAAACAACATTTTGTCATGAACATTTGATTTTCTGACTGCTGTAATGACAGCATTCATTCATTCTCCAGAGGTTTATTGAGCACCTACTTTATATTAGTGCCGTTGCTAGATGCTGGGGGTGCAGTGGTGAGGCAGGAGCAGCAAACAAGGGAAGGAGATTGCTACTAAAGAAAAATCCTTGTTATTTTATTCCCTAATACCCCTCTCTGCTACTCTCTCTCCTTCAACCCCTCTTACATAGGGTTATGTATTTGGTAGAGCATACAAGAAAAGCTTAAATGAAAAGATGGGGTCTGAAATAGTAACTGATATCTATAAAGTTGAGTTTTAGGTTTTAACTAAACCTGCAAAGGATGGGAATATAGAGGAAAAAAAGAGGAAAGTCATTGTAATAATAAGAGTAATGGACATATGTGAGATTTCTTTTTAAAGCTATTTATGTAAGTTCTAAATTTGTGTTATGTAGAATGCTAACAACTGATACATTGCATAGATCTTAGAGCTGAAAGATTTATGAGAATCCTGTAGTCAAGAGTTTCTATCAGTGTAGGTGTCCCTCTGTTAACATCCATCCATGCACTGTTGATCACCTGCAGTGATGTGGAAATCACTCCCTCACCATCAGTTCTGTTTTGGAGACAACACTAATAATTTGGTTGCTTTTGTTTTTACCATTGAACTAAAAGCTACTTTGCTGTAAATTTCCCTTGATCTTGATTCTGCCTTTCGAGCTACATAAAATCAATTATTTCTTTATCTTTTAAGGTGTACAAAAACATGCTTGATAAGTATTTTTAGAACAAATAAATGGATATCCCTTCAGGATTTCTCTTCTTGATACCATGAAGAGGAAATGGGGTTAAGTCAGTTTTGTGAGAACAAACATAGGCAGCCAGTATAATGGAGAAGGGGTCAGTGATAGCTGGTTCAGAGTATGGTTTTTTCAGTTCTCACGAAGAGCCAAACATGCTGCCTTTTTTATAGATACAAATGAAGCTAAGTGTAATAATAATCCAAATTTAAATATAGATTGGGTTTTATATTATGTTGTGCAAGGCTTTTTGAGGACATACACTTGGATTTCTAGGCTAACATTAACTTATTATTTAATGGTATTGGCTTCCTCATTAGCCCTGTGTTATTGAACTATAGACAGTCTGAAACAAATTATGGCTAACATTAACATCTTTTTTTAAATCAGGGTTTGTATTTGCTGAAACACACAAGGTTAAATAATTGGAGGGAGTGTATTAACTCTTAGGAAGTTAACCCTCAAATCAAAGTTTGACATAAATAATCCACAGTGAGGGTATGCCACAATGGAATAGATAAGTGAGTTGGTGCTACGGTACAGATTTTGGTTCTTAATTGAGAAATTCAGAAGTTTTATTTGATACTCCTTTCTTTTTATACAAATATGGTCTGGTGAGGAAAACTGCCAAATTTTACATCAAGCCCATATATTTTTTATGGCGGCAAACCTTTCTCTAGTTCACTCTTGTATTCCCAGACTCAGCATGATGGAGAGCTCAGAAAAAACTCTGCTGACTAAATAGGTGATTGTGTAATAAATCTAATATGTTAGACACTTGATATATGTATTTTATTGTTTTGTCTTCCCATATTAGTGATGAGTGAAGATCCTGTAATGAGTCTGTGTAGACCCCCTATAAGAAGCTCAAGATCTGGTAAGAGGTTGTTTTGTCTGTTGGTTCAGCTTGCTCGTATTTTTAAATGGAGTACTTACATGTATTTATATGGTTTGAAATTCAAAATTTCTATAAATATATGATGGAAAGTCTCCCAGCTCCCTTCGTTTGTTTGTCCACCCAGCTCCCTTAAGCAACCAGTGTTGTCAGTATCTTAGATAGCCTTCCAGAGATATTTTATGGAGATATAAGGGAATTCATGTATAAATCATCATTTCCTCTCTTTTTTAACCCACATTTTAGCCCAATAATTAATCTTTTCTGTACCTTGTTACTCTTTATTTTTACTTAAAATAGATTGAGGCATCCTTCCATATAAGTGTATAAAATAATTTCTTCATTCTTTTTTAGAGGCTATGTCCTTGTGTGTTGCTATGATTCTTTTTGTTAGCAAAATGATTTTAAATTAATGTCAGGGACTTTTTATTCTTCCCAGTATAATGCTAATAAAAAATTGAAGACTGAGGCTTTGTGGCTCAGGGCTATAAATTTTTCCTGCCTTGACTGCGTTTCTTCCCTTGTGGCTCAGCTGGTAAAGAATTCGCCTTCTATGCAGGAGACCTGGGTTTGATCCCTGGGATGTAAAGATCCCCTGGAGAAGGGAAAGGCTACCCACTCCAGTATCTTGCCAGGAGAATTCCATAGACTGTATAGTCGTGGGGTTACAAAGAGTCAGAAATGACTAAACAGCTTTCACTTTAAGACCTTAGAAGAGTATTGCCCTTAAATTGATTTCATGACTATGAAAGAAAACTAGAAATGTCATTCCAAGAGATATACTTCATTTTTAGAGTTTCTCAGCCTTTAAGGGTGCTTTATTGTGGGAACTAAAAAGGAAACATTTACCTTCACAGGAGGTTTCTACTTCCCAGTTATTCTCTTTTAAAATAGTTAGGTTGAATTTTTTTTGTTTTTTTGTCTTGATAGATGACTGTCCTTTTAGTTGATAAAAATCTGTTAAGGTTTTAATGATGAACCTGTGGTAAAGAACCATATGATGCATTTCCTTTTAAGCACTAATCATTTTATTGCTATCTCTCTTTCAGATTCGGCACACAAAACAAATGGAAATACTAAAATGAGTGAATTAGGTTTGTTTATCTCTAATTCTTATAGGTTCTCTTTGAGGCTTCTAATTATCAGTAGAATACAGGAGTACTTTCATTTGGTCACTGGCTTGAAAATATTACTTTGTTCATTATTTCAGCTTGAGGGACAGTGTCTTTATGACCAATAGCCTTGGTTTTTATTCTCTGAAATTATGTCCTTTGTTATATTATTGTTTAAGTTCACATAAGAAAATGTCATAACCTATATTTTAGTTTTTATTAGCAGTTGTTAAGTTCACACTATCCCGGGAAAAGAGATAGCAACTTACCTATTAAGTTTTTTCTTGATTTAGAAAGTGAATTGGAAATTTTTCTGTAGTAAGTTGTGTCCTTTGCCATGTTTGTTGAAGTGGTTTATATTCTTTTCAGGATTTGCCTTGATATAGGACTTGAGCTACCAAGATCTGTGGCTTTAAGTGAACTTACATTGATTGTGGTTGGACTTAGTCTTAAGTTACAAATTTTCTAAATTTGGAGATGAGTCAAAGGAGAGAAGCTTCGTTTTTCTTTATAAATAGTTGCAGCTTGGTTTAAATTTGTCTTCCACTTAAGCTCAATTTTTTTTAGAGACTTCAGAATTTATAGTGTCTGGGTACTGAAAATGATCCTTATAGTATGCATCTTATCATGTGTACTTGTACCTACCAGTTTCTCAAATGCTCTATGTAAAAACTTAAAAAAGAATTTTTTTAAAGTCATAGCGTCTTAAATAGAAGCAAACTTGGAGCTGAAATAATCTAGCACTTTTATGTTCTTTCTATGCTAGATTTAGAAATTATTTCTGTAAGTACTTTATAATAAAAACTAACTTTAAAAAAAGTACTTTGCAGCTTAAAGGAAATTTCTGTGAGATCAATAAAGAATGACACCCCTTTTTTTTCCCCAATGTAATTTACTAGTAATTACTAGTAATGCTAGTAAATCTTGAAATGTATAAAATGGCTGTTCATGGAGCTTGAACGTTTGTGATATTTCCAGACTATTCTTTATTCTCTTCTTCTTGCTGCCTCACTCTCTTGTTCTCCAAAGCATGATTGGCATTGAATAGTCTTAAAATGTACCTTTCTTAAAGGTATCTATAGTGGGGATCCCCAGAGTACAGCCTCTGAGTAAAATCTGACCTGTGGTCTTGTTTTTATACAGCCTGTAAGCTAACAAAAATTTTTACATTTTGTGGAATAAATATATATATGTATATAAATAAATATAAATATGCATATGACAGAGACCTTAGGTGGCTAGAGAAGCCTAAAATATTTACTATTTGGCTCTTGACGGAGAAAGTTTACCCATCTCTAATTACATTAATGGTAGACCTAAAGACAGCAAATCACCTAAATTATCCGTTGTTCTAAGAATAAATTAAGAGAGTTAAATAACTGCCTGGACATAGATTTATGTCCACACACAGATTGAACATTCCACACTAGGTTTTACTGACAGCACAAAAAGGAGATACGGTGACTCCTATCTTCTCTTTGAAAAAGCATGATCGTCTCACCTTTGAATCTTCATGCCTTTGTCCCCAGACACAACACAATTACGAAGTTTGTATTTCCTTGAATACCCTTCACGCCTCACACCAGCACATTCCATAAATCTCTTGGAATAAGAAAGGGTATAGTAGAAATATACTGGGACTTTTTATTTTGTGGAAATAAATAAAATAAAATAAACTGTGACCAGACAAAAGAAAGTGAACCAAAAGTGATACAGATAATGGATGATGTCCACCAGAGGAGGTGGTTTTAAGTGATTTGTTTTTTATAACAAACAGAAAGACCTTAGACTTCTGAAAGTACCTTTTCCTAATTGGTTGAAATTGTTAGAAAAGTGACACCTCCTTAATAGCACACTTAATTATTGCCATTTGTCTAAAAGCCACAGCCTTTGTAATTTTTTTAAAATAACCTTTTTTTGGTTAGGGTATTATTGCTCCAAATAGAATTTTAATGTCTTGAAAGTTTTCATATGTGTGTAGGAAAGAGTGATACTTTAAAAAAACAAATATTTTTTAATGCTTTAACTTCCCCTATGTAGCAGCCAAGAAGTTTAGAATAAAGGAAGCTAAATGACAAAAGAGGGAAATGAAATTAAAAGCTATATAGTCATAGATACTGCTGATTCATCATCAGATTGTATTTGGATATTTATCTATACATTCTTTGCAGCTTGGGTAAAAAAATTGTTGTAAGTATTAAAATAGTGCTATATATATATGGTAGAGAAGAGCCCTGCTCTGTGGAAGAGGTCAGGAAGGTTTAATGGCGATGGCATTAGAATTTTGAAGGATGCAGAACAGGCAAAATGAGGAGAGTTATAAATACTACAGTTTGTCTTGTAATAAAATGTCACTCTTTTACATTTAGGATTCAGGCAATATGAGAAACTCCTTTACGTTAGAAACAACACTCATATTAACTGTGGCTCCTTGAACTATCTTATGGTAAATGATTTTCAGAATGACATTTTCAGTTGGTTTCTAGAGTGAGAACTATGTTTTAAAATGTGTATACAACCAGGACAAAAGCCTATTACAGTGAAGAGTACTTGTCAACTATATAAAATGTATTATTATTTAAGGTGTCTTAATTCATAAAATACTGCTGGGTTATAAGGCACAAAATAATACTGTTTTTTGTTCTTAGTGATGTTACTATGATAGCCTTGCTTGACAAATTATTATTTATGTTTTATATAGTGCTGATAAATATTTACTGTTAGGAACATGGAATTCTAAAGAAAGGATTTTTAGACCCTATATTAAAAGTCTTAAAAGTGTTCAAAAATAGATTAAATCCATGATTTATTTAATACTTCATATTAAAAGTATTAAAAGTAAGTGTGGAACTCCCTTATAGAAGCTGATTTTAAAATACTTATAAATCCTCCCTCGTGCTAATTAAAACTAATTGACATAACTAACATAAACAGAAAAAAGGGAGATTGAATTGTAGGCAACCTGGTATAGGAAGGATTGATTATTAGGTAATTTGCTCTAGACAGTTGACATAGATTTGCAAAAGTATTGTGCAAATACATTATATCAGGATGAAAAAAGAGGGATTACTGTACTATTTGTTTTTTCTGATAGTTTGGTGAATGAATGTAAATTTTCAACCTACTTTTCCTTCCATAAATACAGATTCAAAAATCAGTTCAGCCTTAAATTTTGCTACAACAAATAATTTCTGAACTATATAAAACATAATGCCCTAATATAAATGTGATTTTAGCAAAGCTACTGTGTTACATTTAGGTATTGTTGGAACCTCTCATTTTAGAAAGAATTCACTTTTCAGCTTTCCCCCCATTCATTCATTTATTCAAAAAATTATTGAGGGAGACTTTTTAAAAAGGTTGCACGTGTAAGGAACTTGGAAGTCACCACTTTAGCCTAATGACAAGTCAAAAACTGACAACTGAAAAATCAGCAACTCTTTTTAGATCCATAAGAGAGGAAATGACACAGGTCAAATCACTGTCCCCAAAGTTGGAGAAATGGGCAAATATAGGAAGTCATAGCTTGCTGGAGCCAAGACTCACAAGTAGAAGCCTCTGTGGGAGGTAGTGCTGGATAGGAATACCTGAACTGCAGTTAGTGAATTGTTGGATGTTCTGTGTGGACAAGTCTGAAGAGTTTAAAAATTTCAAGAGGACCCAATCTAAGGCGGGCCCCTACTGTGTTGTAATATTTACCTCCAGAGGCTCAGCCAGGCTCACATTAAAAAAAAAAAAAAAATCCCTTCATACCTCTGCAAGGTAGATGGAGAAAGGCAGCATTTTGAAACGTGCCAGGGTATTCTGTTCTTCTTAACAAGACAAGCCCTCAAGGAAATCTAGTTAACTGGAGCCTATCCATCTAGTCAA